AGATCTGAATGTGTCCCTTCAACACACACACACCCCCATTGCTGTTGAGTCTGTTCCGACTCATAGCGACCCTATAGGACAGAGTAGAACTGCCCCCACAGGGTTTCCAAGGAGCGGCTGGTGGATTCAGACTGCCAGCCTTTTGGTTAGCAGCCAAGCTCTTAACCACTGTGCCACCAAGGCTGCATCCCTTCAATAGGATTCTAGATTTCTTCCCATCAGTTACCAACATCAAATCCATACATAGCATCAGAAAGATGCAGTCACCTGAGTTTGTTTTCTTGTGTTAGTGGTTTTGCTTCAGCTTTTCCCACCTTCACCAATGTTAATCATGTCATTGCAGACCCTGTCTGGGCTCCATACTTGCAAGTCATAAACGACATTTACATAAAATCATGTCTATATTTATGCCATCTCTCTTGTCAGTTTTTTCTGAGGATTTAGTATCCTGCTTCATACCCACTAAAACTGAGTTTAATACCGTGGAAAGTCACGTATGTCTCATTGTATTCACAAAGCCTAGCTCCACAATTCAGACTTACCGGTGACAAGGGGCTGACCAGGTAGATCATCAACACATTAAAAGGCAGAGAAGTACCCAGAGGTGCTCAGTGTGAAACTCAGTTGTTAATGGGTTGTGTTTTCTGAAGTTATGTTTCACTGAAGATGAAGCTGCAGTGGGCCTGAGTATAAACACCTCATCAGATGTTTACCCAGATAAGGCTATAACTTTTTGCTTTTTACCCAATTGACATTAATGCCTTTCACTTTTGTCTGTTTATTTTGTTTTGTGCCTTTCACTTTTGAATAAAAATACAGAACACACCTAGCATTTGAAAAGAAGCAGATAGATTAAATACCTCAGGGACTGTTTGGCATGTTTTTCACAAAAACCAGAAGTGTTTGCCATTTACCCTAAGTTGTTTTCACGTGTGTGTGTTTTCAGATGCCAGATTAATTTTATTTGCAGAAGATTCACATTGGAACCATGAGGCTTAATAACCATGACTGAAAAAATAACACCCTCCAATCAAACATCCCATTCACCTGGACTTTGTTGTCAGTGAATGCACTGTGCCACATTCCTGGCTAAGAGCTCATGAGCATGGCGTCTCTGCCCCAGAAACCTGTCTACCATCAATGCATTAATGGAAATAAAGCCAGAGCTCTTTGGAGGCCTTTGGGCAAATGGAATAGAGGACAGTGAATAAGAGCTACGGACAAAAACAGGCCAGACTCCAGAAGCCAGATAGAGGTCAGATAGGCTCTTTTATGATCTAATATATTGTTTTATGAATTCAGATTAACCATGGAACAAACTCCTAAAACATGATAGCCATGTACAAGAAAAATCTGTTTCAGTTTAGCCTTTGAAGTGGGTATAAATCTGATAATCCCTCAATAATATTAAAAATTGAACAAGACTCAGTGGTTCCTTTTAACATTGCCTGGATATATTCAATAGCTTGATGATCAATAAACAGATTCTGATTAAACAATTCTTTTTCAGCAAACACTGAGCCCCTAACTATGTAAGTACACACATTCATTCCTCCAAATAGGTCTCTATCTTGGGTCAGCTTTCCTAGAAGCAGAGCTGGAGGTGAGGATTCTTGTGCAAGTGCTTTACTGAGGGAGAGGCGAGAAGGGGAGAAAGAGAGAAAGAAGTAGGAAAGGGCAGGGGTAGAAGCAGGATGTGGTCCTTGCACCACAGAGCTGGTCCCAGCTCAAGGCAGGGGACCAGCCTGCTGCAAGCCCTTTACAGCAGCTGGAGGATGATGCAGTAGTGGGTGAGGGGCGGTTCACCAACAGCATCCACTACAGCAGCTGTGCTGGTGGGACTGAATCTAAAGGAGCCATGCAACAAGGTGTCCCAGCACTGCCCTCATAAAGGACACCACTGGCCTCATAAAGGACACAGTAACAACCTTGAGCCTCTCAGGTGACCTCTCTAGATGTCATTTTCCTTGTCTGTAAATTGGGAGGAAGAGGCGGCACGCTGGTTTAGATGATCTCTATACTCTCAACTTTGAAATGCAGTGATTTCAAAAAGGAAAGGAAGGGGCTCACTGAGGAATAATTGATGTTTTTCCTAAACACAGAAAGGAGTTAATTAATGTAAAGGTGCCCCCTGAATGGCAACTCCATTAAAAACTCTTCTCTCACCAGGAATAGCTCTGGATACACAGGGAAATCTAAGAAGACAACCAGTAGAGTTGCCCTGAAGGTTTATGTCCTCAAAAGGATAGCCAGGGTCTGTGTTCAAACAAAGTGCATTCATGGGAGTTTACCTCAAGGCAGCATTAATGTAACCAGGCAACCTCATTTAACCAACTGCTGAATCAAAGGGAATTAGGTAAGAGGCTCAAGTAAAGCATGAGCCAAAGGCTGTCCTTGCAAAGTACTACAACTTCTGTCAAAAGCAGTTTGGCAAAAATCTACCAAAATTATAAATACATTTACTCTTTGACCCCACAGGTCCCCTGCTGGGAGTTTTTTCTACAGGCAGAGATGTATCTGAAAAGAAAATTATACAAGTTTATCCATTGCACCACTTTTTTTTAAAATACCCAAATATTGGTAACAACTCAAGGTTTAATCAACAAAGGACTAGTTATGCAGTAGATATTGTGCAGTCAGAACCATCCTTTACTGACATGGAAAGCTCTCCAGCATATATTTTGATAAGTGAAAAAGCAAGGGGAAGAACACCATTATTATAGAATGTTGTTATTGTTGTTAGGTGCCTTCAAGTCAGTTCCGACTCATAGCAACCCTATGTGCAACGGAATGAAACACCTGCACCATCCTCACAATCACTGCTATGTTTGAACCCATTGCTGCAGCCACTGTGTCGATCTGTCTCATCAAGGGTCTTCCTGTTTTTCACTGACCGTCTACCTTACTAAGCAAGATGTCCTTCTCCAGTGGCTGGTCCCTGATGATAACATGTCTAAAGTACCTGAGACAAAGTTTCAAAGGAGCACTCTGGCTGTACTTCTTCCAAGACAGATTTGTTCGTTCTTCTGGCAGTCCATGGTGTATTCGATATTTTTTGCCAACACCATAATTCAAAGGCATCAATTCTTCCTTGGTCTTCCTTATTCATTGCCCAGCTTTCACATGCATACAAGGCTATTGAAAATATCATGCTTGGGTCAGGTGTACCTTAGTCTTCAAAGTGACATCTTTGCTTTTCAACACTTTAAAGAGGTCTTTTGCAGCAGATTTGCCCAATGCAATACGTCGTTTGATTTCTTAACTGCTGCTTCTGTGGTTGTTGATTGTAGATCCAAATAAAATGAAATCCTTGATAACGTCAATATTTTCTCCGTTTATCATGATATTGCTTATTGGTTCAGTTGTGAGGATTTTTGTTTTCCTTTTGTTGAGGAGTAATCCATACTGAAATCTGTAGTCTTTGTTCTTCGTCAGTAAGTGCTTCAAGTCCTTTTCAATTTCAGCAAGCAAAGTTGTGTTATCTGCATAATGCAGGTTGTTAATGAGACTTCCTCCAATCCTGATGCCACGTTCTTCTTCAGGTAGTTCAGCTTCTCGAATTATTTGCTAAGCATACAGATTGAATAGGTATGGTGAAAGAATACAATCCTGACGCTCACCTTTCTTGACTTTAAACCATGCAGTATCCCCTCATTCTGTTCAAAGGATTGCCTCTTGGTCTAAGTACAGGTTCCTCATGAGCACTATTTTCTTAATTCCCATTCTTCTCAATGTTTTCCATAATTTGTTATGGTCCACACAGTAGAATGCCTTTGTATAGTCAGTAAAACACAGTTAAACACCTTTCTGGTATTCTCTGCTTTCAGCCAAGATCCATCTGACATCAACAATGATATCCCTCATTCCACTCCCTCTTCTGAATCTAGCTTGAATTTCTGCAGTTCCCTATCGATGTACTGCTGCAACAATAATTTTATAGAATAGTGTCCATATTATAAACACATATGCATGTACAGGAGCCCTAGTGGCACAGTGGTTAAAGCACTCGGCTGCAAACAGAAAGGCCGGCGGTTTGAACCAACCAGCTGCTCCGTGGTAAAAAGATGTGGCAGTGTACTTCCGTAAAGATTTACAGTCTTGGAAGCCTTAAGGGGCCCTTCTACTCTGTCCTACAAGGTCGCTGAGAGTTGGAATCAACTCGATGACAGTGGGTTTTGCAAGGAGTGAGAAGGTGGGAAAATAAAATGGATGGAGACATAGGCGGGAATGAGAATTCTCACCAAATACATTTGTATAATTTTTTCTGCATTTTTTCCAACTACCATGGGCTACTCTGTAAAGAAAATGGAGCATCTGTTTGACTAAAAAGTAAAATGAAAATTTAAAAGGCAGGCATCAAAGCTGTCATTTCACTGTCCATTATTTCATGCTTTTGTTCATGGTTTGGCAAACTGCAGCCAGTGGGCCAAATTTGTCTGCTGTCTGCTTTTGTAAATAAAGTTTTACTGGAACACAGCCACTGCCGTTTATTTACATATTCTCTATGGCTGCTTTCATACTTCAGTGTTGGAGTTAAATAGTTGCAACAAAAGAAAAACCTGAAAATATTTGCTATCTGGCCCTTTACAGAAAACGTTTGCCAACCTAGCTTTAAACTATGGATTTGTTCACAAAACAGCTGTGACCACAGCTATTTGTGAGCTTTGGGTACTGAGGGTATTTTGGCTCCTTGAAGTCAGCTTTTGTGTCCCCTAGGTGACAGGCGGAATACTGTAATGTTTGAGGAGAGCATGGACTCTGGAGTCAGACAGCACAAGTTTAAACCTGGGCTTCGTCCCCCACTACCATGTGATCATGGGCAAGTTAACATCTGTATTTCTCAGCTTCTTCATCTGTAAAATGTGGACAATAATAATACCTCCTTCACAGAGTTGTTTGGAACGTTAAGTATGTTAATATTGGCAAGGAGTTTAGACCAATACTTGTTAGTTATTATTATCATCTAATACTGTGATTTGTTTTTTTTTAAAAAAAAACAGGATGATGACCAGTTAAATGTATTTGGAGAGGACACTATGGGAGGTGAGTTTCCTTTCCTGATTCAGACCAAAGTTGTCATTTTAGTAGCTTTGAACAGGTCTTTTTTCACTAAATGTCAGCTAAGAGATGATAAAATACCAACACCAACTGCTTTCCCCTTAGTCAGGGAATGTGATCAAGATGGGAACTCTTTGGATCTCTCCTTTCTTGATCCATGTGAAGAACCAAAGGGATGTCTTACTAAGGGATGCATTTTTTTTTTTTTATTGTTGTAGTTAAATGGAGTTTACATTTCAAGTTAGTCTCCCATACAAAATTTTATGCATACATTGTTATGTGACCCTAATTGCTCACCCCATTCTGTGACAGCACACTCCTCCTTTCCGTCCCTGATTCCCCATGTCCATTCAACCAGCTCCTAACCCTCTCTGCCTTTCCATCTCACCTCTGGACAGAAGCTGCCCCTTTGGTCTCTTGCATCTACTCAAATAAGAGGCACACCCCTTACAAGTATCACTTTATGTCCCACAGTCCAGTCCAATCCCTGTCTAAAGAGTTGGCCTCGGAAATTATTTTAGTTCTGGGCTCATAGAGAGTCCGGGGGCCATGCTAGGGATGCATTTCTTAACTACACCCACAGAACATTACTCCTGAGATGTTCAGGGAAAGGGGAATGTTCTGGTCAAGTATGTTTGGGAAACACCTAGCCCTCTATCCCCTTTAGAAGAGTCACATATGTAAGCGCATAGCAAGGCTCCAAGAAGTCCTGCTTGGAGAGCAGTTTAACTTTAATTCAACATTCTTCAAATTTATTGGAACTTAAAACCCCTTTTTTTGCATAGCAGTTACTATTCTGCAGAAGTCCTATACCGTTGGAACACTAAGAAGCTAAGAAACATCAGGATTATGCTGCTTTATAATTTTGTCATATTAAAATATTGCAAAAACTAAAAAAAAAAACCTAGTTATACAAATAACTGAAAATAGATGAGATTATGTGAATTGGGACTGTCCAAAAAAGATAAGTTTTATGATTGCCATAGCTACTTTGACATAAGTACTTTCTAACATTTCCTCTCTGTAATAAATATTGTTATAGTTATGGTCCATAGAGATAAGTTTGTAGTATTGACTATGAGCACATACAAGTACGTGAGCAGGCTTTTTAAATGACCTTGGCTCTAATCCTGCACTGATCCATGAGCATGAGGTGGTAGATAAATTGTCATTTGATGATAATGGCAATAGCAGTAGGTGGAAATCGCAGTCAACAGATGACATTGTAGTGATTCATGGGCAGTGGCACAAAAATATGAGCCATAGCTTAGCTGTCACTTAGCCATGTGCAAATAATCAGCTTGGTCCCAACTCTGTAAGGGATGACTGATTGCCTAATAAAAGTTCCTGTTTTCCTGCTTATAGAATTAACACATATTCTTGTGGACATTTTTTTAAAGTAGAAAATAAAAGACATCTAAATGCTTATGACCTATAAATAATCGTGGTTAACACTTTAGACACCAGTGAGGTGTCTATACGTTTATTTTTACGTATTTGAAAATACATGTGTATATATGAATATTACCTCTAAATTTTTGTGTATATTATAACATAAGTATGTTCCTACATCATTAAAAACTCTCTATAAACTTAATTTGTAATGACTACATTGTACGAATGTACCATCATTAACTAAAAAATAACTATTTTTTAAAACTGGAATAGGCTATAACCATACAAAAAAATAAAATAATAATAACCATGGCCACTTTCCTAGACTGAAAGTAGATTAAAAGTTGTTCACCTTCATAAAAGTAAACATGCAGACTGTTGTTATTATGTGCCGTCCAGTGGGTTCTGACACATAGCAGCCCTGTGTACAATAGGACAAAGCTCTGCTCAGTCCTGCACCACCCTCACACTCATAAATTTGCAGACAAGAGAATGTGAAATGACCCTCTGGTCCCACATGTCAGGAGCACCAATGTGTCTGCTTGTAACAGAAACCTCCAGATAACATGCGATTTTTCCCACTACTGTGGGCTACTCTGTAAAGAGAATGGAGTGTCTGTTTGATTAAAAAGAACAAAGAAATTCATCCTTCAATGTGAAAACCAAATGTTTCCAAAGATGCCAAACTCAGTTCTTTACTTCCAGCACATTCTTCCCTCTCTCCTTCCCCTTCTGTCCCTAGCCCAACTTCTTCAGGCCCCATTCTCTCTCTCTGGTAGAGTTGGGCCTTTCACTCTGCTAATAGTAGATTCCTGCAAAAATGTAGCACTGTGTATATAAATACCACTTCCCCCCGTTTCCACTAAGAAATAATCAGAATAATGATCTAACTTTCAAAAGTAGTTATCATCTATATAAAATATAAAGTGTGAGTCACAGTCCTATTAGTTTAAGTGTAAAAATTGCAATTTTGTCACCAAGATGGAAAATTGAAAAACCATCTATTACCTCATCCAAATAATCACACCCACCCATCATTTTAGTTGACTCACACCCGTAGGATGGGCAAAAGCAGCTGCTTTCAGAACCAGAAAAACAGCCCACAAATCCATCTAGCCTAGGAACTCAGGGTCCGACTCCACCCAGCCCTGCCCTTCCCTCCTGGGTTCTTCCCACTTAGAATGCTACTCAGAGAACCTCAGCAGGCCAGGGTGGGGAGTGCACACCCCACAGGGAGCTGGGGTTCCAACAAAAAACACCAAATACCTTTGAGCTCTTAGATCTTTACTTTAAAACTTCATGCAAATTTTTTATCCTACATCATAATATGTTGATGTTTATTCAATCTATTCTGAAATTTGAAAAATGTCTCCCTTAGCATAGGGGTTAACAAGAATAACAAATTATTCAAAATTATCTTTAACTCCTCTGTCGGCAGTCACATCTGTCTGGCTGAGGAAAGAGGTCAGCCTCAGATGCATTTTGTTTTGGCCAGCACGATGCATTAAAAACTTGACTTTGAGTGTTAACTCTTGTTAGCCATATCCACAGCACACCATGCCCCTCCACTTAAATCGTTTACAGTCTTTGCCTGGCCTTTGCCTAAAACTCTTTCTGGAAGCCATCATAGTTCTTGTTTGTGGAATCAGCCCACCCCACCCTCTGTGGGTACTGGACTAAGCCACTTAGAAATTAGCCAGCTAAAGATAAATTCAGACCTAGTGGGATTTTCTGACATACTAGAGCCTGTTCCTTTAGCTTTCCATCATCCTCAGTTATTTGGGACGGCCCTCTAGGTTGAAGTAGTCTTGCCCTGTGTGGCTTCCAGAGATCCCAACTCTGAACTTCCCAGCATCCTGAACTAGCCTGCAGCTGTGTTCTTCACCTACCCCAAAACTCTGCCCCTAAGGCAAGAGCCTGACTCCTGCCCAGTTAATAGGCAGTGTGTTAATGCTCATGTTGTTATAGCTGGTCCACTTTTGAGTACTACATATAAACTATAATCTTTGTAAATAAAGCCGTATAGCATTAAAGCAAGAGTGATTGTCTCTGCTTGTCTCAGAAATAGCCTTAGGTAGACTGCTATTTCTCCTGTCTCTGGGGCCCTCACTATATTTTTATTTTATTTTATTTTATTTCATTTTTTTTGAGGATCCCCTGCTTCTGGACGTAAACAGTAACCATTGGCATTTCCTGAGTCCAGAGACCCCGAGCTCATAGGGTCATTCCCAGCTCAGGTTTTTTTCTGTACTCATCCCTTCAGCCAACTTCCACCCTAACCTCAAGAGTCCTTAGAATTACTGTTTACTTAGGAATTTATCTGTAACATGCAACAATAATAGTGTCATAATTTTGATCAAGGAACAAAGAGAGTCATTTCCTCATGTGGTCCGTTCATGTACTGGAACCACAGAGTTTGTAAGTATTTGAACTGAAAGAAACATTAGAGATTGTTGGGTCCAAGTGCTTTGTTTCACAGATGGAGAAACAGAGGTCTAAGAAAAACAAGTTACTTGCTGAGGTCAAGCCAGTTGGCAAGAGGACGAGAAATGTGACTCTTGTCTCCCCACCCCTCAGGGCTTCCTACTACACTGCCTGGCAATTGGAAGTCATTTAGGGTGCCACAAACCACAGAAGGCTTTGCACTTTGCCTAAAATTCCTGACATGCATCATTCTTTTGCCTTAAAGCAGTGCTTCCCAAAATTCAGTCCTTGCTGAGCACCTTCATGATTTTTGCTTTATCTCTGTACCACCTAAATATATATTATTTTCTTAATATTTTTCTTGAAATTGGTTCACTGTTTTTACTTACATTTATTTTAAAGGAAATTTTATATTATGACATTAAATAGAAAATAGCATCATTTGCTGTAAATAGAAATTATTAAGAAAATAGATTGTCTTCCAGACTATCTGCTTGTGTTTTGACTTCTCTTTATTAAGAGAGATTAGCAAACGTTAAAAATGTAAAATAATGGGGAAAATGCAGAACAGAATTTAAAATTCTCTTGAACTCCAAATTCCTAGAGCCATGAAGATTGAATGAAATGCTGAAACTACTACCCTAAGATAATCTTTAAACCTTAAAACAAAAATATCTCCTGAAGTCTTTTTTAAAAACCAAATAATACTTTAGCTTAACTGGTAAAACAAATGTCTGTCTTGAGCATTATGCTCTTTTAAGAACTATCTATATGGGATGAAATTGACAACAGCAACTTGAAAGATTAGATAGGAACCTGAGGAGGCAGTGAATTTATGTTAATGGAGGAGGAACAACTCAGAAAAGGAGGTGAGAATGGTTACACAACTCGAAGAATGTAATCAATGTCACTAAATGGTACCTGTAGAAACTGTTGAATTGGTGTATGGTTTGCTGTGTATACTCTCAACAACAACAAAATAAATAAAATTAAATTAAAAAAGAAATGTGAAATAACACCAAACTGAGACACTTAGGAAAATGAAAAAAATATTTTACAAATTAGCTTTCTTACTTTGTGATTCATGCTGTTTAATGACTTACCAGTTTTACCACCTAAAATTGATCGTCTGTGTTAAAATGAAAATATATTACCTGGGTCTGGAAATAAGGCCGAAATGGTCAGCAGTACCTATTAATTATGGCCTATTAGCATATTTACTTAGCTTCAAGCTTCTTAACAAATAAGAAGTACAAGATTTGGGTTTCTACATAGCATAATTAAAACCAGAGTTATGATGCAGTATTTCTTGCCAATAACATAATTTATTCTTATTTTAAAGGCTTTATGGAAGATTTAAGGAACTGTAAAATTATTTTCATGATTGGTAAGTAACAGCCCTCTAATTTTCTAATGCAATTGCTAATAAAAACAACTTCGGTGGGAAAAAATGCTATTTATTTATCACTCTGTTTTGAAGTCTTGTCCCTATTTTGGTCAGAATAATATTCCCTAGGCATCTAGATTGTAGCTTTTTTATATACAGTTTTATATTGCTTTTGCTTAGTATCTTTGCAGTGTAGAAAAAGCGTGACTCTAAAGAACATCAAATACCTGAGTTTAGCTCTAAAATAATAAAGTACATTATAATCCCAGGGATAAGAGGATGCCGTATGTTGAAATCTAACACATACCTTTTCCTGTTTTAATGCTGACCCTTTTCTCCCTAAACAAAATATGTCAGTGACTAACTATAACTAACCCGTTGCCATCGAGTGGATTCTGACTCACAGCGATCCTATAGGACAGAGTAGAACTGTCCCATAGCGTTTCCAAGGAGCAGCCAGTAGATTCAAACTGCCAACCTTTTGTTAGCAGCCAAGCTCTTAACCATTGTGCCACCAGGGCTCCTGTCAGTGACTACATATTCAAAAACACCTCAATAACCTTACCCAGGGTTCCATCCAGCTAATAGTTAAAATGATCTAATCTGTCGTATACTCTAGTACATTGAAACTCGCTGGTATCTTAATTGTAGGAAATAAAGCATTTGGGATTATCCAGCATTTTCTGAGCACCTACTTTGCTCCAGGTTATTTCATTTAATCATTACACACTCTTATAGGTCGGTGGTCTATCCCAATAAAACATCTATTAAATAGATGAGAAAAGTGACACTCAGAAAGGTTAAGGAGGCGGGGCCAAGATGGCACAGTAGTCAGATGCTTCTGCTGGACCCTCTTACAACAAAGACCCAAAAAAACAAGTGATTCGATTATTTATGGCAATCTGGGAACCCTGAACATCAAAGACAGAGTTGAGGAACCTGACTGAGTGGCAGGGGAAGGGACAGACGGTTCGGTTCAGAAGCAGCGAGGAGGTGCCAGACCTGACCCAACGAGAGCCTGAGCCCTTCAGGCTTGATCAGCTCCGGGGTGAGCAGTGAGGCAGGCAAGCGTCAATGCTCGGGAGGCGCATTTTCCACACCAGCAGAGACCCAGTGCCAGAGAGTCTACACGGCCACCCAGAAACAGTGAGAAGCAGCCCTCATCGGCGAAAGATAAGTTCTTGCATACAGTTTACCGCACGGATCAAAAACACCCCCTTGGGGAAAAACCTCGCTCCCATTTCCCTCCCGCTTCCTGCTCTGCACTGGGTTCCAGATGGGCTTCAGCAATTGCCAAGTCCCCTGGGCCAGGAGTAGAATCCGTCACAGGCTCGGAGCCATTCTCCCTGCCTTGGAGAGTGAACAAGTTAACAAACAGGAAAAAATAAACTGCAGGCTCCCCTAAGCCAGGAACCCAGGTAGGCAGGCTCCTTTGCCTAGGTACAGGCATAAGGGATCCACGGACTTTGAGTGCCTTTCCCCCTGCGTAGACTTGTGTGGGCCCATCTCAACATCGTAGGCCCTCATTACCGCAGTACAACAGGGTATATACCAGAACTTTAACTTCAACTGTTTCAGCTGTGAAGTGGCAGGTTCTTGACATTTGACACTGCTCTGCCCGTTAAGCAGGGTCTTCAAATACCCGCATCAGGGGCCTGAGGACTGGTGGCTCCACCTAGCCACCTGCGATAGGGACCCATGAATAAGAAGTACCCCCAGGTCCTTAAAGTCAACAGCACTGGGTGCGCATACTACAGCTGCAAAACCCACCCACCTACACGCTCTAGGGAACAGGGACACGCCTTCCTCCTGGACACTCAGGGATAGTTGTCAGCCCCCTGCCTTGCTCAGTGTGTCGCCCTGCTGCAGCTAGATACCTGTGCCTATACCAATCACCCATGCCTGTCTAGCACTGTAAGTGAGAGCCTACACCACACAGTTGGTGGCTATCTACCTGAACACCTGAGCTGACTCCATGCAGAAGCAGTGGGTGGGCTCCTGAGCTCATATACCTAGTAACAGATGTAACCACCTGATGGCAGGACATTAGAGCCTCAAAGGTGCCAGTAATCAAACTAGCTCATACAAGCAGCCTATTTGGAAATATCAAAACAAAACAAGAAGCTAGGACACAGTAAGCAAACATAAAATAAATAAATATAATAACTTATTGATGGCTCAGAGACAACAGTCAATATCAAATCATGTAAAGAGGCAGTCCATAATGGCTTCAGCAAGCTCCCAAAATAAAGAATCTAGAAATTTTCCAGAGAAGGAAAAATTTCTTCGAATTACTGGAGGCAGAATACAAAAGATTAATATACAGAACTCTTCAAGAAATTAGGAAGGAAATTAAGCAAAATGCAGAACACACAATAGAAGAAATTGAAAAGATTAGAGAAGAGCGTAATGACAGATTTAACAGGCTGCAAGAATCCATAGAGAGACAGCAAGCAGAACTCGAAAAGATTAACAATAAAATTTCAGAATTAGACAACTCAATAGAGAGTCATAGGAGCAGAGTTGAGGCAACGGAAGTCAGAATTAGTGAGATTGAAGATAAAGCACTTGACACCAACTTATCTGAGGAAAAATCAGATAAAAGGATTTTAAAAAAATGAAGAAACCCTAAGAATTATGTGGGACTCTATCAAGACGAATAACCTACGAGTGATTGGAGTACCAGAAAGGGCAGGATAACAGAAAATACAGAGAGAATTGTTCAAGATTTGTTGGCAGAAAACTTCCCTGATATCATGAAAGATGACAAGATATCTATCCAAGATGCTCATGAAACCCCACATAAGGTAGATCCCGAAAGAAAGTCACAAGACATATTATAATCAAACTTGACAAAACCAAAGATAAAGAGAGAATTTTAAGAGTGGCTAGGATAAATGAAAAGTCTCCTACAACGGAGAGTCAATAAGACTAAGCTCGGACTACTCAGCAGAAACCATGCAGGCAAGAAGGCAATGGGATGACATATGTAAAGCCTTGAAGGAAAAAAACTGCCAGCCAAGAATTATATACCCAGCAAAACTGTCTCTCAAATATGATGGTGAAATTAGGGCATTTCCACATAAACAGAAGTTAAGGGAATTGGCAAAAACCAAAC